GCATAATTGACTGTCTTTTCTCTCTCTCTCTCTCGTTACAGGTTTTAAAAGATGGTGATCAGCATGGTTTGTTGCATCATAAACTTATGGCATCCAACAAACGTAGAGCAAAACTAAATCAAGGAACTTATTTTAAACCAAAATCGAATAGCTTCCTCAATCTAATGAGAGCTACTGCTAGAATAATAGGTTTATTTTTCTCAATTTTTATTCAGGTTTCTTTTGTGACATGGCTATCGGTTAACATTTTTACTTTTTAATGTGCTTGCTTAGCTGGTGGTTTGTGCCGTGATACTCATGTTCTCAGCTCTGTGTCTTGCACAGGTTATCTGATCCCATTGGTTGAGATGTTAAGGTGCACTGTGGCTTATGTTGTGTGTGGTCTATTACATTTACGGGACAGACTGCATTCATTTTGGTTTAAAAGGAGTTGTTAGTCACTTTATGTGCTTTGAAATTCAGCCTATTCCAGTCTATAGCGCTCATCTAATTCTAGATTCAGAATTTGACTGAATTTAGGTGTAATAGGAAGTTAAAGTAATGCTGACTCAAAAGTACCTGACTCTAAAGTTGCTATAAGATGTTATGCATATCGACTAGTGCTTGTATTCCATTACTTTTTCTGAGCAGAGATCGTCTTGCGTTCTGAAAGCTTGGTGAATCATAATGTTACTTTCGTCTAGAGTTATTGTTTTGTTTCCAGAGATCCAAAGAGGAGAGGGAGTGCGTGCGTGCGTGCGTGCGTGCGTGTGTGTGTGTGTGTGTGTGACCACATGACTCACTACAGGACCACTCCACCAGATGCAATAACGCATTCAATCAGATTAAGAAGCGCGTATGTTTTCGGGCACATATGTGCGTGGGCGGCTGCCACGTTTCGCGCGTAGCTCCTTATCGCTCATATTCTATACATCTGAAGAGCATCCGGTCTTACTGGAAGGGTGCTCGCTGCTGTGAGAGCTGCTGGACTGGATTGTCTGTCAGCTTGAAAGGTTAGTATCTTGACTCTTTTATAGTGACGAGTAGTTTATATTTACATGCAGGTATCCAGCTTAAAACCAATGCATTTTTTAATCGCTAGTGCAGTGGTGGTCCCCCAAAACTGCACATTTTGGACCCTAATCTAACACACCTGATTCAATTCACTATTAGAGGCTCCGTTTCCTGAAATGGGTGTGTCATATCTAAAATCTGGAGTGTTGGGGGGCCACCGGGACCAGATTGAGAACCGCTGCTCTGGTGGTAGCTAGGCAAACGTCTCTGAACGTCGCTTCTTTTGGTCTTTTTTTCTTTTAATTGCTTGTGAAAAGTTTTTTCGGTGTTTTTTTTGTAACGCTGCCCTGGTATGCGAGTCTGAAAGCTGCAGGCGTATAAAAAATGGAATAGTGTGGAGTTTCTTTTGCCGTTACCTTAAATGAACCCTCCGCTGAACTCAATGCACTGGCCGCTGCAGGCGTAGATGATGAAGAGGCACTGTTGCCAGATCTCGTGAGAAAAGCAAGCGAATGGAAACGCTCAATTTTATTGATCACCATGAAACATTTAGATTACAGAAATAATAATAATAGCAATAGTAATAAAAAAAACAGATTGAGCAATAATGACTGCATTGACTAACAAAATAATGTAAGCATATACTTCTCCAAAAATAAATATTTCACCAATACAATTGGATATCTGAATTAATAAAAAATTATAAATCGTAATCAAAATTTATACAAAAGTAATTGATTTTTTTTAAATCTGGTGTTCGCGTAGGAAAACTGGTAAATTGAAAATAAATGTTTTATACAATTCTGCAGTTCTGTACATTTAAAATCCCGAAGCATGCCTGTGTGTTCTGCCAACAACCCCAAAAAAAGAGCGACGCGCGATTGCCAGTATTTAAAAGCGTTTTGATGAAAAGTGGTTTATAATACGCGGATATGGCAACACTGCCGAGAGAGAGGGAGCGAGCGAGAGAGGCTGTGTCTCAAATCCTAGCGAGACAGTCTTTCGAACGTTCGAGCGCGACGATGATGCCCCAAAAAGCGCTGTCTAGGTAGGAGCTTCGCTAGGAATCGAAACACAGCCAGGGTGAGACAGAAAGGAGAAGCTGCGTTCGATTATCTCACACAGCGCTCTGTTAAATGAGGGAGGGAAAAAAGCTTTCGGTTCTTCCATAACGGGATCTAATAATTATTATATCGTTAGAATTGATGACCACGCCCCTCTTTCAGCCCCACCCTCTCGTCTTATCATTGGTAAGTGAGTTGATTCTTCATTATGTGTCTTTATTGGTGTGCAGAAGTCTCTCCCAGCGTGTCAGATAGCTTATCAGACTGGTGTTGGCTGTTACAATCGCCCGGCGACAACAGTCTGTAGGCTGTCTGACATTTTGGACTTTTCATCCCCTCTAAAAATCTTCTGTTTTGAACCCCTGTCGATTTTGTTGTTATTAGTAGTTGTCATTTTTATAACCATATTTTTTCCAATACTGAAAATAGCTTTTTGTCTCGATATTGGTGTCTAATTTTGGGGGGTCGTTATTAAAGAAATATTTCCGATGTGTGCGTGTGTGTGTGTGTGTGTGTTAACAGAGCGTGATTGCCTACTGAAAATAGCTTTTTGTCTCGATATTGGTGTCTAATTTTGGGGGGTCGTTATTAAAGAGTGTGTGTGTGTGTGTGTGTGTGTGTGTGTGTGTGTGTTAACAGAGCGTGATTGACGTGTTTCTGCGTAGCCCTTCTCGTTAAAGGCGTGTGTGTGTGCGCGCACGTTCAGCACTTGGTTTTGTCCACTTGAATTTCTTGAGAATCCAGAAAGAACACGCCTTATTGCAACACACTCTGTTATGACAGGTCTTTTTGCCCGCCCCTTCATTTGCACTTGCTCTACAGTTTTTCCCCCTCTGTCATGTAACTGCTCAATCGTTATCTAACATGTGCAACTGGTATTTGTAATTAAATTAAAAAGATGTTCATTCAGCAATTCCCCCCTCTGTTTTTCTCCATTGTAAAACCACAGGGTGATCTACTTGACTTTCACAGTCGAGTCCTATCATTTCCTCTTTAACTGTTCAGAACATGCTGTACTTTAGGGAACCCCCTCTGCCATTCATGTGTGTCTGTGTGTCCTGTGTGTGAATCAATAAAGATGAATGAAGTAAATGTCAATCCGTCTCCTGGTTTTTGAGTTGAGTTTTATATATTTTATTATTTTAGTTTTCTAATAAATTGTAAGTTGCAATACAACATGCTATAGTAATCGCAGGCTAATAAATGTAATTTCTGCAAGCTGAAGAAATACAAGTTAAGGTCAAGTTTAAAGTTTTAGATAGAATAAGAGCAGCTAAAAGAAAAATACTATAAATGCATATGTATGAAAATAAAGATGAATAAAAAGCTTCAGAAATTTAAAGCAGATAAAAATGTAAGTTGAGATCAAATATGAATTGCAATGAGTTTTATATAGTATATTTTTCAGACATTGAAGATTGTTTAATGCACAGCAATACAACATGGAACAATAATCGCAGACAATTAAATGTAATTTCTGCACGCTTCAGACATTTTAAGATCACATTTTAAAGTTATTAAATAAGAGCAGTTATTTATTTTGTTATTTGAGTTTTATTGTTTTTCTCACATCAAAATGTGTTTAATGCAGAGCAATACATGCAACAGTAATCGCAGGCAATGAAATGTGATTTCTGCAAGCTTCAGAAATGTAAAGTTAAGATACATTTTTAAAGTTAAAAATGTAGTTAAGGTAAAATTTGAGCAGTTAAAAAAAATATATAGATAAATACATATGAAAGTAAAGATAACATTTTAAAAATGTATAAACAGTCTGTAATTCCTTTATGCCCCAATAAAAAGCAATTACAAAAAAAACCGACTCTGAAAATATGTGTACTGTATTTTCATATCGTGTATAATATCATATTCATAGTTATTTGGTGATGTGAGTAATTCAGGCACGATCACGCCCATACAGTTAAGAGCCTGAGGGTTCGCCATCATGCAAATCGCTCGTTCAAACAGGTTTTAATATTCAAATAAGGCTTGACATGTTCAGTTGTAGTTTCTTAACAGCCCTCCTCCATCTTATGACCAATCTTTTGTGTAGGTTGCACAATGAGGTCAGGTGTTCTTGCTTAGCATGTGACCAAACGACACTTTTGAGGGTTAAGTAAGATTTTCAACGTGCACGCATACTGGGCACTACCTTTAGCAACCAGTAGGGGGCACAGATGAACATTTTTGGATATTATTTTCAATATTTAAAAAATTGCATATTAAGAGTTTTGTAGGCCTAAATTAAAGTGTCCTCACGTTTTTGTATTTTGTGACTAATCTATATAATTAAGAACACGTTAATGATCATTTGAGACATCTTGATTGGAAGAATCTTGGTGAGGGTAAAACTATAACAGTTAACCATATATTCAGTTTACGGCTCTCAAAAGCAAGAGTATTTATAATTAGTCTGCTAAAGTCCAGGTGAGTCAGGGACTTTAACCCATGACATGAATCAATGATGTGCTGTCACCGAACTGGAGAACACTGGCACACCCAAGCTGACTCAGAAACAGGTGTAAACGTTACCTGACGCAGATGCTGGGTATCTTTACCTCTCCCGAAACCCACAGGTATGTATCATTAAAACTAACAGAAGAACGGAGAGTCTGATAAACTGTTAGCTTCCTGCTCTCATTCTCAACAGGTAGCCTACATGGTTTTTTATTTTTGTTTTATTTAATTTATTTTTTTGGAACAGATAGCCTAATCAGTGTCTACAACAGGGCCCAATTAAGCTTCAAATAGCTTGATATATTATATCAGTCATATCAACAGCCATACCATTGTGATATGCATTGTTTTGTGTCAGGTTGTGTAAAGTATGTATGGGTTTAGGCCTCTTTTTCAAAAACATACAACTTTGGAAAGCCCCTGTAACTATAATTTGCATATTGATTTTTTTTCTTCCTGCTTCAAGCATATGTGGCACACAAATTCATGCAGCTGGAGAGGGAGGGGATCTTTTTGGAGGACACAGCCTGGTAAGTGGAGCTTTACCAGTCTTATCAGGATATAGATCGTTCCCATGTCAAGATGACCTGTCTGCTATCTGGAGGAAACGCCTCTGTTTTGTGTAAATGTTGGTCTTGTGCGGGAGGCTTTCAAAATTAATTTGCTTAACAAATGTTGTTTGTACATGCAACCCAAATGCTGATTTGATGGACCAAATATTTAAAATTTGTTAAAATGTTTTTTTTTTATTTACCAATTCTAAATATGTGATCATTTTCTCACCCTCACGTAATTCCAAACCTATATGCTGTTAATTTTTTCCGTTTAACTCCCACATATTTAATTATTTTTAAATACTTTAATGAGTGTGTACAAAGGTCTTTATCATACAATGACAATTTATGGTGTTAAGCTTTTAAACTCCAAAAAGAAATAAATCACCTTAAAAGCGGTCTATATGACTGTAGCACTATATATTATGATTTGTTTGAACCCTAATATGTATGGGGAAATAATATATAAAATATACAATAATATATAATAATTATAACATTTTTAATTTTGGGGTGAACTATTTGTTTAACAAAAAATGTACAAATCAATGGATTGTGAAAGCATTTCAATTTTTAATTTCTATTTATTTATTTATAATTTTATTTACTTCTAGCTTTTACCTGGCAGAGATTTCCATGGCCTTGGGTCACCTTCATCAGAAAGGCATTATCTACAGAGATCTGAAGCCAGAGAACATCATGCTCCGTAACAATGGTAATAAACACACACACACCTGTCCTTTTATTCCAGATAGTCTTCAGACTTGCACCACTGCCTGTTCAATAAAGACTGTTCTCCTCTGGATGTGCTCATTTCATTCTCATCTCAGGTCATGTGAAGTTGACAGACTTTGGACTCTGTAAGGAGTCGATCCATGATGGTACCGTCACACACACCTTCTGTGGAACCATAGAGTACATGTATGTACAAAGTCAGATTTTCACCCAATTAAACAATCTTTTTTATATGCTCATGTAACTTCTAGATGTAAATGGCCAATGTAAAGACTGAGTAGCAGAATTGGCCAAGTTGCTGAATACTAAATATTGATGATATTTATTTTAATGTACTCATGGTTGTGACATCAATTTCCGAGCAGCCTGTTATTGCATCTTTTTCTCAAATAAATGGTCTGTGTAGGCTAGAAAGGGAGCTTTGTGTTGTTTAACAACTTGAACTTGAATTTTAAAACAGTAAGAAAAATCATGTTTTCGGCAATGTGGCCTCTTGAAAGTTCATACAGAGCAGTTCATGGAGGTCAGAGCCTCCATCAATCATGTCAGCTGAAGGCTTATTTGGGGCCTCTGGTGTCAGTTATGTCAAAGTAAAAAAGACAGCAGCACAAAAAATGGTTGGTGTGATGGCCTTTTCTCTCTTCACTCATTCCTTCTGTCTTTCTCTCTTTGTTTCTCTTGTCCTCTCCCTTTTTCAGGGCACCAGAAATCCTCATGAGAAGCGGCCATAACCGAGCTGTGGATTGGTGGAGTCTGGGAGCCCTGATGTATGATATGCTAACAGGAGCTGTGAGTGTTCATGGCCTCAATCTCCTCTCTGATATCTTGCTTCTCCATTAATGTTTTACATGAAGTTAGAAACCGATTAGGTCAATAAGCTGTATATAAATATCAGTAGATAAATATATGCATATAGATTATGCATATAATGCTGTCTTAGAATAGATGTACATTTACACACACACACACACATACACACAGAGATTATTTATAAACGCTAGTGGTCGACCGATATATCAGCCAATATCTGGCATTTTTGGCAAGTTTTTCTGATTGGCCGATGTGTTCGAGGCAAGACTTTTATTTTGACGTAGCGGAGAACAGCAGCGCCTGAACACAGTGCTCACATTCTTCCTGTTTATTGTTTGCTGTTGCCGTATACGAATTCGAATAGAATTCTTATACGAATAGAAGTAGTGGTCGACCGATATTGGTTTTTTTGACAGCCGATGCCGATATCTTGGAAAGCAGGGGGGCCGATATAATTTGTTTTTAATTTTAATTAATATTTAAGAAATTTGAAATCATTTGACAATGGATTAAAAAATAAATGTGTAAAATAAACATACTTATACTTTAGATGACAACGTATTTTTCACAAATAAATAAATATTTAATAAAAATATAATTAAAAAGGAAGTAAACACTGTAACCAACAGGGCACTCAGTATTCTGGGAAGTTTGTGTGCATTGGGAATCATATTTTTTCAAATAAAGCCAGGGTAACACTCATTTTACATACAGCACAAAGAGAAAATTACATGAATATGACAGTGGGCAAATGCATAAAGTGCAGCATAATTTGAAATCACGAGTTTAACGTTTAAAGCATTCAATTCACACAGACCGACCGTCACACAGAGAACACGCGATCATGCTGGATAAAAATGCACACTTCACAAGATCTCACAGCTGGATTCGACTAAGTTCACAAGGTTTGTGAAATTAAATGTTCATTAGTCATTCAAAGATTTGTTTAAATTATATGAATGCGTATTTGCTTAATGCTGACGGAAAAACGAGAAAGTATTATAATGTCTGCCTTTTTATTACTAATAATATAAAAGCAATCGTTATAATAATTTTTGTATACATTAATTCCTTTGTTTAACCGTTATTGATTATTAAACATACTTCTATCCGTATTAGACAGAACTGTTAACAACAACAGTAAACAAGAGAGAGAATGTGAGCACTGTGTGCTCAGGTGCTGCCGTTCTCAGCGCCGTCAAAATAAAAGTCCCGCCTCGACCACATCGGCCAAACAGAAAAACGTATCGGCCGATGCCGATATTTGAAAAATGCCAAATATCGGCCGATATATCGGTCGACCACTAAATAGAAGTCTGTCTAAAGGCCCCGATACACTTCAAGCAAAATCTAAGAACGAACTGATGTGACATCATTTCGAACAAAATCCGGCCAAAATGTTTTAGGAGTTCGAAATGGCTTGCCAAAGCATATTTTCCGGAAAAGTTTGGTGCGACTGCAAAACACCTTCGTACTACCATTGGTCCTTGACGATTACTTCATAGGAGGTGTGCGCTGAGGCTCCACCTTCTTTCATGCGAACTCACAAACTCTTCTCTGGGTTCATTTAGTCTGTCGAGTCCTTGGAGGTGAGATGTTCGCGCAGTGGAGAGCCGCTTTATAGAAGCAAATTAAATGAGACAATGACACTCTTTTTCATGTTTAATACAACTGATTGCTTTTAAGCAATATATTGAATAAAGTACCATGTAACTACTCGTGACGTGACTTCACGGGAGTGCTAATTTGCAGAGCTTGTGCAAACATACCCATGTTGCTATGAACAGATGCTGTTTATAAACAAATGCTTGCTGTTTTCTCCATTTTTTTATGTTTATTTTGTTACTGAGAGAAAAGCTCGCAGCACATATTTACATATTCATATAAACGTTGCTTTCATCAGAGTGGGCGGGGTCAGGATGTTCCATAACAGTATACCGCTGCTCATGTATTTCGAACTTTGTTTTACCCCAAAACGAAAAAGAACTTAGTTTTAAGTATATATCAGATAGAAGTGTTAAACAAAGGAATTAAAAGGTATACAATAAAGTCTTATAACGATTGTTTTTAAATTATTAGTAATGGAAAGGCAACCATTATAATACTTTCTTGTTTACCGTCAGCAATCAGTAAATGCGCATTTATATCATTCAAACAAATCTTTGAATGTCTAATAAAAATGTTATTTCACAAACCTTGCAGACTTAGTCGAATCCAGCTGTGAGATCTTGTGAAGTGTGCATTTCTATCATGCATGCATATGATCGCGTGTACTCTTTCGTGATGGTCGGTCTGTGCGAATTGACTATATGCACAGTTACTTCCTGGTTTTAGATGAGCCAGCTCAGTAAATTCCGGTCAACTGTCAAAATCAGCTGTGCTATAACGGGAGCGCCCTTTGCTCGGTTTCTCTACGCAAGTAATCCATTCAAAAAAGTTTTGTTTGTCTACGAGGACTGAACGTTCACTTATGTTTCAGGAATGACCAACACGAGTGTAAAAAATTATGTGATTGAGTCCGCTAAATTGTACCACGAGTCATTGCTGTAATTGACAGTGATAACTGTATTAAGGAACAAAACATCTGACAAGCCCATGGCAAAAATAGACCTGTGCATTAAGAGATTCAGACTAAATTCAGAGTAACAAAACTACAGCAGTAACAGTGAATCTGTGCACTTGCTATACTTTATACTTCAGTACTGTAAAAGTACTAAAATTAGTTAGCAAATCCATTTTTTAATAAAGCCATGGCAACTGAGCTAATGATTGATCCTCTGCTGCCATCTACTGGTTATAATGGTAATTTCACATAATTTCTGCCAGGAGACACATTTTTGGCTTATTTGTCATGTCATCTTCATGAATGAAAAGGGATTCTTTAAAGTGAATTTTACTGCACAGCTGTGGAGTTGAGAAATAATAAAGGCTTTAAAATATTATAAGTGTTTAAAAAGTGTGTTTATGACTATGAAGGTAAGTTATTGATTATCAAGAATACCATTATCTAGCATTGCTAGCTAGCCAACGTTAGCCTAAACCAGGGGTCTCCTGGAGGGCCGGTGTCCTTTAGAGTTTATCATAATTTATAGTGTTGCAATTTAGTTTCTCAGTTTCTGACAAGAACGAGGCAGGAGAGTTTTTATTGTGAGGGTCTCAAGAGTTTCTAACTATATATATATATATATATATTCCACAACATCAAATGATGTTTCACTGGAAGTTTACGAGTTGGCTTATTTTTATGCAGAAGTTCTAAAGAACGCTCCGTGCATATAGTCAGTTGAATATGGACAGAAGGAGAGTTCAGCTTCACTGGAGACGCACGATCTACAAACTTTAAACTCGTGATTACAAACTATGTTGTGCTTTATTTAATTCCCCACTGTCATATTCATGTCATTTTCACTGTGTGCTGTATGTTAAATGAGTGTTTCCTTTTTTTTTTTTTTTTTTTTTTTTTTTTTTTTTTTTTTTTTAATTTTTTTCCCCAACCCAAAAA